AAGTGAACGATTACTTTTATTCTCACTCTAAACATTCCCCTGACTTTAAAATTAAAGTTTTCAACATTTCACTGCTTTACATGACTTTTCCAGGTTTTCTATGATTTTGATTGTGGACAAGAATCGTCTGACCTGCAACTCTTACAGTCAGTGTTTGCCCAGAAAGAGCATCTTATCATATTCTCACTTTATAGCGGTCACGTGACTAAAAATGCATTCAAACAAACATCTTGAACATTCAGTTCCCAACTGCAGTACCTTTAAAGCATGCCGTCTGATCGCATACTTCACGTGTGTACGTAAGCGCTGCATAAGTTTAAATCAGTGACCTTATATGCACTGTATACTTTCCTAAAAACCTGCAACAACCAGCATTTACGGTCAGACTAACGTTACCAGACTGAAACAATCGCAGCACATTAAAAAGCCTAACAACCAAAGTACACCAGATTTTGGCAGTGGTTTAGGAACCGTGCATTTGAGCTAAAATGGAAACAAAGTAGACAGCACATGTACACTGACTGAACCTACCTCTCACCAACCGGTGAATCTAGTTTCAAGCACTTGACCGCCACCGTGGTGCGCCAGTCGCTGTGCTGCGCCCTGAACACGGTCCCGAAGCCTCCCTTACTGAGGTAGTGCAGGTCCGTTAGCTTCCGATACGGGATCACCGGTAAGGTGCTGGTGAGACTGCAGATGTTGACGCAGCCGGTGTGCTCCATGTTTCAGGATATTAGGAGATGAGACGGGCCCGTTCAGCTACACTAGAAAGGGGAACTGAAAGCGCACTGCTACCGCTGAAAACCCTCACAGAGACAATATCGCGCATGTACCTACATGTTGTGAAAAGCGGTCTATTCTGCTTACTATATTATCCAGAAATAGGCGGTTGGGTGCACCTGTCTGACTACTAAATGATGTAGTCAAAATATCCTTGTTAAAGTGTCACTGAATAACATGGGAACGATATGAGTCCTACAGCTCGCGCTCGGAGACACGCCCCCAATCCGAACAACGCATTTTATATCCCGCAGTAAAACAAACTGCAAATTACCGCCACAATGACATAAAACCACCACAGTTTGAGATTTAAAGGTGACGAAACGTGGTCGTGGCGGTGGGTGAGAGCTCGTCAAATATTGCGCAGGTGTGTGAATGAGACAAATCTGACTAAAACCTCAACGTTATGTTTTTGTGTGTGTGTGTGTGTGTGTGACCACCCATTTAGTCCCGCCCTTGAACTGATCACTGTTTGCCGCGGATAGATGAATGACATCTCAACTGGCCAATCGCAGACGTCTTTTAAACCCTTACAGCCAATCCTGTCGCAGGGGGCGGGATTTCTCGGAATACAGGTAGGGGAAAAAAACAAAGCCGATAACACGACTGTGACTACTGTTGACTTCAAGATTTGGTATATTATGAATTTACTCATTATATATGGAAAATTCTTTATTCACAAATGTA